CAATTTGTTGGGAGGATTTGATAAGTCTAAGACGAATTAAAGAAAATAAAAATTTTGATAGAAATTTAAGAGAATAAAATTTTACTCTCAAAACTTTACTTTTATTATTCAATTTTTTTGTGACGATGAAATATTACAAATGAACAACATTTTTATATTACATTTGGTACCTAAAAATTAATTACCAATTCATGAATTTAAACACCATTAAAAATTGTAGATACATATAATAACTCTAGATTCATGTAGATCAAGATTCATTGAGTCTAGATTAATTAATTGAGAATTAATAACACGAAATTCATACGTGCCAATGATTTTGTAGTATTTATTACATATTGAAAAAAGTAGAGTGTTATTGAAATAATTGATTGTAGCAAGGTAAAAATCGTCCAAAATTTTTTTTCTCATTTGATGTAATATTTGATATACTGTAGATATATAGGTGCTTGATTCTCTTGCTAAAAATGTAAAAAATTGTGTGGATCAAGTCAGTTTTGAATGTCTAAAAAATTTCCTCTTCAAGGCAGGCAATGCAAGCGAATACAGATCAAATAACTCGTTTTGGTTTTGCTTTAATTAGAAGATATCTCAACAAAATGACAATGCATGAGATGAATCATCCAGCACAAGCACTCATCTTGCTGGCATGACGAAAGCTACATATGAACTACCATACATATGGCTCTTATTGATGGAAAGAAATATTAAAGAGCAGACCAAGAAACTAAAACCATTAGCATGTAATTGAATGCCTAATCCATTCAAATATTCTAATAAGATTTGGTGGTATTCTATGAATGTAGTTTAGATTGTGCTTTCAGTGAATGGTATAAAATCACAATTTCTCTCGTAGGCTTGTCTCAGCATAATCAGCTAAACTCCAACACGTTATCCCACCTCACAAATCTACCTTTTAATCAAGTCCAACTCCAACCCTTTTCATTGTAAATTTTCACTCAGCTTTCTCTCTTTCTCTGATAGATAGAAAAAATGGAGGGCATTATTCCATTTGTTTATAAAGCAATCGTACAGTACAAAAATGGTGGTCAGGGACTCAAGGGGACATGGCTAAATGAATCGC